CTTCTTCAGCCGTCTTTTCCCCGCTCTGTCTTTACTTCTTGCTCCGTCTTTGCTTCAGTTTCCTTCTCTCTGGCTCATGGCCAAACCCACCTCACATGACCACCGCCTGTCCAAAAACCTTCTCTGGTCCTCTGCACCAGGCGGACACAGCCAGACCCCCCCCCTCCTCCTCATCCCACGCTGTGCTCCTGCTCACTCAGTCTGCCTGGCCTCCATCCCACTCACTCACTCACCTTCCTGCCAACTTTACTCGCACTGAAAGGAGTTACCTAATGCTGCCGTTACTGCAGCTAATGCAGATTTCATGCACACACGCGCTCTGTTTGACATGGGATAATGAACATGTGTGACTTTGACCTACCGCTCTACTTTGAAAGGTTAATCCCAGGTTGTTGCTGTTTACATAGCGCTCTCTCTCTGCAAGTGTAGTAAACAAAGTACTAGTTTGTTATTTCAGCAAAGTTTTAACTTGATCATGGTTAATAAATGAGTCTGCTGCAAGAGCTGACTTTATGTTTTATTGTATAACTGTATATCTAAGTATTTGTTCTACATTGATCACGAAGCTGTAAAAACAAAAACAAGCCTGAGCATCAAATTAAAGATATTAAACTCAGCCTTCAAACTTGCAGAAAACTACTGATATGTGCTGGAGGAGCGTCATGTGTGAACACAAACAGCCGAATTCTTCTCAAACTTCAGCCTGAGTGATTGATATAAAGACATATGATATTCTCATTATAGCGTCCTATAGTCATTTCTTACCTCAGGAGACTCCGCCCCCCCTCCTGTCTGACAGGTACAGTCTCCCACTGTGAGGTGCATGTGTGAACATCCAGGTCAGGAGAATATCCGGAGCAGTCCTCCTGACATTATCTAGATATTTTCAGGATTGCAGATGTGAAAATGGCTTGATAATAGATGATATTTCCTTTAAATGAAAGGCAGATATTCCAGTTCAACATCAGACTCCGTCATGAGGGCTGCCACTATGTGTCTGTGTAGTCATATCCTGAGACAGTTTTCACCTTTACAATAAACTGGTTGTTTTAATATCCTCAGATGTCATGTCACCACATCTCGCCACACCCCTCAAATACAGCTCTTAACATTTCAACAGTTTTCTGACAGTGTTTGACTGAGACGATGAGAAGACTGAACAGACAGACAGCTCTGAAATGTACCTCCATCTGGTAGTTATTTGTAGGAATTGTGCGGTTGTCAAGTTGGCAAACTGGTTCACCAGCATGAAAACACAGCTGTGTCAAATTCTGGAGAGAGGCAGTTTAATAGAGATGCCTTGTTGTTGTTGTTACAGCATCATAAACACTCGTTTTCTTAAAGATGTGTAAAGACTAACTGCCTTGTTTACGTATGAAAATGTCGCCCGGTCTGTTACTGATTGGTGTCTTGGTGTCTCGTATCTAAAGACGAGTGAATTCCAGGCGACAACATTTGCATGCGACGCCTGCCTGCAGACGTGTTTCAAATTGTTGCAGCAAAGACGAGGTGCTCATGAGCTGACAAATGAGTTCTCCTCCTGCTCGTCCTCTTCACTCCGCAGGCTGGCAGCGTGCAGCATGCAGCCTGTCTCTGGCACTGCAGTGAGCCCAAACATGATATGACCTAAATAAACGGGTGTGTTCGCACAGAGAGAGAGAGAGAGATGAAGCAATATTTTCCTCTCGTCTCACACAGTCGTCATGTTTTCAAACACTTCACTCTCCTGCAGGCTACAACTTGTGTGTGCGTGTGTGTGTGCGAGTGCGTGTGTGCGTGCGTGTGTGTGTGTGCTCAGACACACTGGGGTTCTCTGCACCGTGTCACCTGCAGTCAGCTCAGGTGCTTTTACACATCTTAGCAGCTGCTTCACACCTCACTTAGATGTTCCTGTCCCTGTTTTCAGACTAACCTGGTGAAGTCGTATTACGACACCGAAGATGACTCAAGAGCTTTGATTTTCTTTGAGTGTCACTGAAGACAATAGACAATGGACAAAGGAGTGCGGCTGCACCACAGAGGGATGGTATAATCTACTCCTTCATTCATCCTTTATTGAGTCAAGATGAGATTTCTTTGTGAAGAGCAGTGCAAGACAAAGTGTAGAGACGGACTCAGACTTTACTCTGTAAAAAAAATGTGATAACATTTGATATTTACACTCGACAACGAAGGTGCTACTGGATTTATGAGCAGTTTCTCACGTTGAATAAATGTGGATTCCTGAAATCTGAACCCATGTTTTTGTCATTTCGCTGGTGTTTTCAGGAAGCTGTTGATCATGATCATTTTACAAACCTGGCAGCTTTTGCAGTATTCTTAAAGATTTATTTTGGGGCGTTTTGTGCCTTTATTGGAGAGATAGGACAGTGGATAGAGTCAGAAATCAGGTAGAAAGAGAGAGGGGAATGACATGCGGGAAAGAGGCCACAGTTCGGAATCGATCCTGGGCCGCCCGCTTGGAGGACTACAGCCTCAGTACATGTGGCGGTCGCTCTGTGTATGTCGGGGGCGCCTGTCTTGCGGTTTTAAATGCAGGAAAACCTGCTTTATGTATGTTGTTGTGACATTAGCAGTCCGAAACAGTCCTCATGATGTAAGACTTGTCCTCCTCCTACAAGTTAATCCAGGCTCCCCCCTACTTACCTAAACCCAATGGAGTAGTTCAAGTAAGAGAGCATGTCCATGTGTGAGTCCATTCCCACTAAACGCTCCTCAGTCGTGTGGAAGTTCTTCAGACTGATGAGAGTAAACTGCTGTCATTACTGAAGTTTTCTGAAGTCTGTCATGGACACAATAAAAATAATCATGACTGATTTATTCCTGCTTCTCAAACAGAGGCGTGCAGCTGAGTCAGAGGAGCGAGTGTCACTGCCAGTTTCACACAGGACACATCCACTGAATTGTATATTTAGATGTTGTGCTAATTTACTCCAGCTCTAGTTTGGCACCATTTTTCATTCAGTAAATCTGCTGACTTGCAAGGTTGGCCATACCTCCACTTATTGAAGGGACCAGCTACAATAAAGACATTGTACTGAACCTTTTTACAAGACAACATTATTATTCACACATAAATTGGTACAAATTAGTCAGAGCGGAGCTGACAGCTAGCTGAAGCTACATCTGACTGAATCAAAATGATGTGAAAATGTTAAACTCAGGCCTCAGTCCAACAGGTAAAATGTAAACATGCTCAGTGAGAAAGCAATGCCTGCTCACATCCAAGAAAATTCAGACTTTTGTTTATTGCCAATTCTCACATTGTGATAACAATGTAAACGCCCTTCTTATTAAATGAAGTAAGCAGCAACTTTATCTCTTTGTGTCGCTCCTTCAGGTGCACTCTTTTTGGAGTTCAGAAATATGCGACTGCACGGGCAGAATTAGACTCTTGAGTGATTCCTGAGTCCAAGGTCCTCTCCAGGTCCCGTCTTCAATGACAGCAGGAAGTTTGATGTGTTTGTGTTTGTTTGGCTGGACGGGGTCAGGACTGAAAGCTCTTTTGTGTGCTGCACACAGAGCTCTGGAGTCTGTTATGGACAGATAAGAGAGCCTCACCTCATACACACTTTCTACAGGACAGGTTTCACTGTGCAAACACACAGCTCAGTCCTGTGTGTGTGTATTTAAGTGAGGCATGCATATGTGTGTGTGGTGTCTGTGAGCATGTGTGTGAGTGAACACTGCTGCGTGCGTGTGTGTGCGTGTGTGTGTGGACAGTCAGCCCTCCTGGATTAAAGACCTTTTAATCCCGTCAATCCTCATCAGCTCAGATGTTAATGGGTATAAATTGTTAGTCAAGGAGTACATTCTGCTCACGAGTCAAAAGCTAGCACTGCACGGCTCGATGACCTTTGGACCCGCGTTATGAGTCGCCGTGGTCGAGGTGACCCAGGCCTTTTCGATGATGGATGCACCTCTCAGCTCTAGTTTGGATCAGCAACTTTTAATTGGGTCTCTGCTTTCTTGTGCCTCCTAATCTCCTCCCAGAGCCAAGAGGACACGCCCGCATCATTTAGAGTGGAGCTCTTAGCCTAATTAATTGTGCTGTTTTAAGACTTTTAGAGGATTTCTGTTTAAAACGGCACTTTGCTCAAAACCATGATTAATCGCTTAGAACACCTTTTTAAAGAAAAAAATATGTCTGTTAAGAAATTGTTTGTGTTGTCCTTAAAGTGCATAAAATGTTTATTATATAGGCAAAAGAGTTTCATTATAACAGTGTAATTCCTTGTTTACTGAAGACATTCAAACTTCTTAAGCAATCAAGGTGATTGTTGACTGTCTTTGAAAATGATTCGAGGCCTGGTCTAATCTAGGGATGCACCGATCTGATCCTGGTATCAGATATCAGACTGGTCCTGACTGAAATAGCTAGACCAGCTTGATGCCAACCCCGATCACAAAACCTGGAAACAGTGCCGTCATTCTGGAAATGTATTTCTCAACACGTTAAGGACGATCTGTGTTGGGACTTAAAAAGTAGGATTGGTGCATCTCTCTATATAAAACAGTCTCTCGGTCGCAGCAGCATACTGCCCTCGATGTCCTCTGTTCCCTTTTTTATCCTGCCCGCCCACCCTGGCTCCTAACACAACAGAGACCCAGGCGGCAACATATTACTTCCTCCTTGTGAGAGACAACAGCCTACTGTACAGTGTTCACTGAAGTCTGTATATAAATCTCGTCTGTTTACAGTCACTGAACACGACGCACAAAAGCAGTAATCTTGCGCTGGTTCTGCACAATCACCAGCCACTCATCCGTGATGAGGAAGTTGGCTAATAATCAGTGTTGTAACATTGCCTGCATGTGAATTGGAACATTTCCCTGACTCTTTATTTCTAAAGTTTTGCACTTTTAACTGTTTACCGTTGGAGGCATTTCTCCAGCCTTCCTGTCAGCGCGGCACATTCTCATTTCGCTCCTGCAGACAGACCAATTTTCTTTCTCCCGTCCCTTGGATTAATAAAATGTCCCTCTTTCCTCACTCACAGGAAGCTCAGCGATGAATAAGCTACGGCAGAGCTTCCGCCGGAAGAAAGACGTCTACGTGCCGGAGTCCAGTCGGCCGCACCAGTGGCAGACAGACGAGGAGGCGGTCCGCAGCGGCAAATGTAGCTTTGCAGTCAAGGTGACTCTCTCTCTCACACAAAAACACACCTGCATACAGAACCTAACACACACACACACACACACACACACTCACAGTCTCTCTCACACACACAGTGCAGCTCTGACCTTACTGTAGCACACTCTAAGAAACTCGCTCGCTGCCGGCCTCCCCAAGGACGCTGCTTGTGATTAATCATAAGCATTCAGAGACTGTGAGCACAGCTTTTATCTAGGTTGCAACATTATCTGCTGGAGCTTTGTAAAGCTGTGGGATGATGTGTGTGTGTGTGTGTGTGTGTGTGTGTGTGTGTGTGTTTATGTGTGTGTACTATTGATTTCTGGCCTCCTTGAATCACCAAGTAAAATATGCAAAATGATAGAAAATGTTTCATTATTGCTGACAAATAACAATTCCTGGGCGCAGCTCTGTGGGCGATGCAGCTTCTCTCTACACAATGTTTCAAACCCCTCTGACTGGACATGCTGTGCTGCAGCCGACGGGAGGGGAGAGTTCACCGTATTTTGGCAACAAAGCCTTCGACTTTTGCAAACAGTGCAACGGTACGCTTCTTCTCATCACATGGCACCCCCCTCCACCCTGGACTAAAAGGGGAATTGAAAACCCTCAGAGTTGAGAAAGAGAAAGTTTTCCTGAGAATATAGGAAGTTTTTTGCCGCTCGATGCATTTGGATTGCTCATTAGAAAGGTTGTGGTTTGTGTTTGCTTAGTCCCGTTTCCTCTTAGAGAGAGAGTGGGGAGTTGAATTGAAAAACTAAAAGTGGAAGTAACTGGGGTGCTAGTGGCAGAGTGGTTAGTATGCATGCCCAATGTACAGAGGCTGTGGTCCTCGAAGCTTGCGGCCCTGGGTTCAAATATGAAGTTCAGCACTGTGGATACTTTCCTGCATGTCATTCCCCACTCTCTGTCTCTGTCTCCCTGATTTCCGATTCTGTCGTCTGTCCTGTTTCTGAATAAAAGTATAATAATGTATTTTTTTGAAAAAGAGGATGTATGGGGTCAACTCGAGATTCCACTTGCCACCCAGAAATTGCACACTTGCTCTTAAGAGCGAGAGACTATGAAATGTGGCTGTTTGCGATCACACATGCAGCTCACCTTGAAAGCTTCGCTCTATTGGAGTAGTCTGACCACTGCTAAAGGTGGAGAAAACAAACAAAGTTAAATCCTCCTGCTTCTCTGGAGTGACTGCTTTGTCAACATGTGGACTTATTTACAATGTGACATATGCAAACAAAACACTCTCGGTTGAGGAAGTCCTTCATCTTTTGTAGGCTACTCTTTGTGTTTACCACACGGCAGTAAAGTACAAGAAACATTATGCAAAGTGTAAACTGTGACATCATAAAAATAGTATTTTAAAGTTTTAAGTGATCCTCCTACAGGAAGTGAGAAATGTCTGTGTAACTGTGACCAGTTAACAGGTGGACCTTGAAACCTTAAACTCAGGTACCTGATCATTGTTGAAAGGTGTGGTCCTCTCTGTAAATCTTTCTGTAAACTCCTAAAGTCACAAAGGCTTCAAGTAGAGTATTGATTATAACTTCTACAGCCACTCACACACTTCACTTCCACCAACATGTTCCCCCCTCTGCGCTCGGCTTTCATCGTGCTGGTGCAACCTACCATGCTGCTCCTGTGTCCCTCCTCCCCCTCCTGCTCCCGGTCTCCTGCTCTGTGCCTCAGAGGAGTCTGCTCCTGTATGTGTTGGAAAGATCGCTCACTGCCTCGCTGACGAGAAACCAATAGAGGGTGGGAGAGGAGATGCAGCAGAGTAGAAGACTTTAAATGTGGTGTGGAGGGGGAAGGTGTTGTCCAGTCAGGATGTGAGCATAGATCACGTTAGTTTGAACCTCAGCTTCCTCACTGTGCTAGTGGCGTTCATGTTCACATTGTTGTCTTTAAGATGAAACTGACAGAGAGTTGTTCATAACTCAAGGTGAAAAATGTAGACTGTATTTAAATGTGTGAAAGCTTGAGCTGAATGTGAGATTAGATGAAACTGCTTACAGAAATGTAAAAAGAGTCGAAAAAGAAAGTGTCTTTAACGACCTTTGTACACCTTAAACCATGCAGTCTCATCTCTATGCAAATGAACGTACGTGCAGCTTGATGCTCACAGGTTTGAAGGCGGACTTTCTGTTGAATATGACAGAATTTTCAACTGGATCTGATTGATGTTCAATACCTTGAATTAATTCCTAGAAACCGCTTGGATTACATCGAGAGGACTTAAGACAGTAAATCCATCTCCAGTGAGTTGATACTGATATAAATGTATGTTAGGGCCAGACGATATATCAGTCTGTTACAGATTTATCAGCGTTATTGTCTGATGTTTTAAGTTTTTTTTTAGAATAGATAATACAGAAGAGAGTAGATGGGACGATTTAGAAATTATGTAATCGCGTAAATTTGGTTTCAGATGATAATACTCCCAGCAGCGTCTGCAGCCGCACAGCCGAGGAGATACTGTTCAGATTTAGTCGTTTGTTTTGTAAAAGTCAAACAATATGATATTGATAATAGTTTCGATACCATGGAGGGAAAAACAAAGTTATAAATAGAGATCGACCGATGAATCAGCTAGCCGATGTTTGCAAATCCAGTGGCTAACTTTATTGCAGATATACGCCGATATTTCGAGATTTACTGACCAGTAAATTAGAATTTAAATTGAGTTTCATTATATTACACTAGCAGTTCTCTTCCACCAGCAGAGGGCGCTATATGGATTGCAACAAGCATCATCACTCTGCAGATCGTAAAGCGTTGATGCACGTACATGCTCTGTTACTTTCAGTTGAGTGACCATCTCGTCTTCATTATAAATCTTTTCCACAAGTGTTTGATAACAACATTTGAGGAATAAAAGTCATAAATGTGTTTATCTATCTCTACAGATCAAACATTGACGAAAGATATCGGCAGATCGGCTATCAGGTTTTTTGTCGATATCGGCCTCAAAAATCTCATATCGGTCGAGCCCTAGTTATAATATTGTGTGATTTCTTGGCTTAATTATCAGACTTTACAAGATAACTTCTGCACAATGGATACAGAGAAAATCACGTCTGTTCCTGGAGGCATGTATTGTTCCCAGATTGGGTTTGATCTGAAGTTCAGAAAGAGCCAGGCGAGCAGGTTTAACTCTTAACTTAGCTGAGGGGCTTTTACTACCATACAAGCTCCTGACTTCCTGTGTCAGTCTGACTCTCTGCAAGAACAGGAATTAGCATAAGTCCCTTAATGTTAAATATACATCAGTGTGAATCATGAGAGAGAAACGCAGGACTATTGTGTCTTAATGTCTGGCTGTTGTCTTGACTTCTGCTCGCCTAATGTTTACAGAATGGGAAATGAAGGGCTCGATGTTTGTTTTGTGTTACCTCTGATGGCTCCTCTCCATCTGGAAAAATCCACCTCAGGGGCAAGAAATGTAAATACAACATGTCACCTTGTGTCTCTTCCTCGTCGAACACAAACAGTGCAGAGGCAGGGAAATAAATTCAGTGTATGATATACTGTATAAAGTGAATATAATCCTAGCCCACTGTGGGATTAGTACAGAGAAGAACTAATCCTGGAGTGGGCATGAAAAAAGCTTGAATATTCAGAACAAATTACCCTACACTTGTACGACACACCGCACAGGGTTTGTTTGTTTTTTGAAGGTGCTTGGAGCATCCCTGATACACGTAAAGGTTTCTGCCTCCAGATTGTTTTTGCCAGCTAGTTTCTAACAGGACGGAGTAAGATGCTAAATGTAGCATCTGTTGTGACACTTCAAGCCTCCTCCTGCATTTACTCAAAGTACCTCAGCTCGTCTCAGGGCTGAGCGGCTATTAGCTGTGCTGCTGCTTCCATTGTCTTCACTACCCACCACTGCCTCTTCACATCACTATTATCATCCTTAGCAAAACAAAGGTTTCTCTGCACATACCCATGGATGTGTTTGTGCACATGTAGCATTACAATACGTTGACTGTGTGACTCACTGCCGTGGCGTCACACTCTGAAAATAGCCAGGCCGGAGGGTGGGGTTGACAGGCTTGGGTCAGCGTCACTCTGTGTCTGTGTATCTGTAAGGAAAGGGTAAGGACTTCCTCTCTGGCCCTGTTCACACAATGGCTTCTGGGGCGGTCAGGGTTGTGACTCTTCGGCGACACACAGCAGGGTGTGATGCTGCTTCAGGAGGCAGGGAGGGGGAGGTTAAGGCTGGAGGAGGCAGCCTTTTTCCGTTCATTCAGTTAGAATGTAGGATTTCCAGGTCATCCCTCTTGTTGGTTGTTACATGTCTGAAGCTCAGGGTTTGTCTGTATTGATGCAGTGACAGATCCTGATGTGACTAGATGGAAGTATAAGCGCTAATCACAGTTATTAAAAGTTTGGTCTTTACTTTATGTTGATACAACGCCTCTGCTCTTCGTTCCCTGACTCTTAATGATATACAGTGTTTCTATATAAGACATAGAAACCTTCATGAGATAGGACAGCTTAAGAGAGACAGGAGAGGGGGCGCGGGTGGCACAGTGGTTAGAGGCCGCGCCCCATGTATGGAGGCTGTAGTCCTCCAAGCGGGCAGCCCAGGATCGAATCCGACCTGTGGCCTCTTTCCCGCATGTCACTCTCTCTTTCTACCCAATTTCTGACTCTATCCACTGTCCTATCTCTACAATCATGACTCAAAATACCCAAAAATAAATCTTAAAAAAAAAAGAGAGAGAGAGTGGAGGATGACATACACCAAACCTCTGTTCATGGGGCAACTGCTCCACCAACCGGGCGCCACCGGCACCCCAACAGTGAATATTTTAAGTGGAGTACTGTTCTACTCCAGCTGGCCCCCCCAGGTGTTCAAGGCCGCCCAAGTATCATTGATGACCTTTTCTTTTTTTAAGATTTATTTTTGGGCTTTTGTGCCTTTATTGGAGAGATAGGCCAGTGGATAGAGATGGAAATCAAGGAGAGAGAGAGAGAGAGTGGGGATTGACATGCGGGAAAGGAGCCGCAGGTTGGATTCAAACCCAGGCCGCCCGTGTTGAGGACTACAGCCTCCATATATGGGACGTGCACACTAACCACTGCGCCCAACAGCGCCCCTGACCTTTTCTTGAAAATTGTATCATCCATGCAAAAGAGAGAGAGAGAGAGAGAGAGAGATCTGCTCGTACTTCCCCTCTAGTAAATGCAACTTTTGATGTCTCTTGTTCAAACTGAAGCGTCTCAGGACTTTGTTTCAATATTTAGAATCTGCCTGTTGCTGATGCCGTCCTGCACTCGTAGTTTATGACGATTGTTGGGAAAGGCGTCGTCATCAACAAGCCTCCACACACGCTGATCACCTGATGTGATGACAGAATATCGAGTGAAGATTTCAGAACGTCAGAAATCTTATTTGAACATCTTTAACTGATGAATATTATCAAAAGTGTAGAAACACACAAAAACAACGCTACGTAATGGGTCAGGGTGGGACAAGGGGGCGACGCTGTGAGAAAATGTGGTTTGAAAGTATGTGTATTTGTGTGCATGCATGTGAGTATATGTAGATAAGAGAATCAGGAGAAAGTAAGTCAAGCAGATTTTTTAGGGGAGAAAGACGTTTTTGGATTGCGGCTCTTTCAAAAATATTTTTGCATCAATGTGGTTCTTGAGTCGGGCAAGGTTGAGTACCACTGTGTTACACTGTCCTCATAGAATCCCACGCTTACTGTTAGTTTGACCCACATGCTCGTTTGTATTTCTCAGGGAAGTGTTTAGTTCTCTCCACAGAGTAAATTAGGGATCAACTTGGGAGCAGTTGAACTGCGATTGACCTGAAATGGTAATTAATGATGTGTATAAATCACAAGCACCACCCTATTTGGGAATTTTAGCCTGGGCTCATTTAAATACACATTCTCCCTCCAGAGTTTATTATATTAATCTGAATTAAACTTCAGAACAGATTGCCAAAGGAGGGTTTGTCAAAGCATTACTAACTCTCTCTCTTTCTCTCTCTCTCTCTCTCTACCCTGCAGTACCTGGGCCATGTGGAGGTGGAGGAGTCCCGAGGCATGCACATCTGTGAGGACGCAGTGAAGCGGCTGAAGACGGTATGTTTCTCTAGAAAAGCCCTCTGTACTTCCAGGAACGAGGCTGCTGACTACCAGACACAGTCCTGCTTCCTCTCTGTCTGTTTCTTATCTTTCCCCCGGTTAGTTTCCCTCACTGAGCCTCCAACATCCTACTGACTCCTTCTAACATTTCCTTAACTTTTCCCCCTCCATCTGTCACCAGGCAGTTTAGCTCTTGTTTTGTGGTTGTTTATTCCTGCCTCGTTCACTCTTTACGAAGACGCCTGGGTGTTGCTTTATGTCAGAGGAGGGTCTCCTCCCATCTTGACCCTCAGACAACCTCCGTCTCAGCCGGAGGAGATAGACCGGCGTGTACTTCCTGCTGCAGTGGATTCCGGTGGAGTTGTGCAAGAGGAACAAATTCCAATGCTGTCAATTGTTCCAAAGGCCCCGCCCAGGTCATAAGCTCCTGTGGGTTAACGAGTCCGTAGTCTGCAGGTCTGGGTTCTTGTGAGGAGGATCGGTGCGTCACCCTTGAGTCATAGTGCGAAGGTAGAGGAGATGATTTCTGTGCCAAGAAAGGTGGAGAAACTCTTGATCACAGCTTTCAGTTTCAGTTTAATCAGTAGTCGAGTATCATCTGTGTTTCATCTGTTCTCTTGACTTCTTGTTGCTGCGTTAAGTTTTGCAGAGGGCCTTTTATTAGTTTATATGATCGACTCAAAGAGATGTTGAAGGCACGTTGAGCTGTCCAGAGCCTTTTGTTGCTTTGATTATAGCGCAGAATAACGCTGCCCTGAGGACACCTTCATATTTTATGAGCACAATAACGGATAGTGAAATACCTCAATATTCATACCGTATAAAACAGAAGCTGAGAGAGCACACACACACACACACACACACACACACACACACACACACACACACACACACACACACTTGTTAAAAGTCCAGGTGTATATTGGTTTCAATCTCTGAGGGACGGCCGTCTGAAGGAGATGAGCTTTCCATTATTTTTGAACAAAACTTGTGCACAGCTCTGGATTTTTATTCCACATTCTTAAGACATGATCGCATTAAGGTTTCTCTGTTGTCTTCGTGCAGCCAGATAAACAGCGAATTCATACGGCGTCTTATTGAGACCAGCTGTTATTTGTCAAAATGCAAGTGAGAAATTGATTCATTGTCTTCTGTAGTTTCAAACCATTTGACTCTTTTTTTTTTTTTACAACCATATGACTCCCTGCTTGTCGTCACACCTGCAGGCAGGCGTGCGTGCGTGCGTGCGTGCGTGCGTGCGTGCGTGCGTGCGTGCGTGCGTGCGTGCGTGCGTGCGTGCGTGCGTGCGTGCGTGCGTGCGTGCGTGCGTGCGTGCGTCCTGACCTGACCTCACACAGTAGGACAAATACACATTTAGAGCACAACAAACTAAAACACACAGTCAGATAGACATACTGTACTCAGACACACACACACTCACACACTGGTGCCTGATGAGGTCACATGGTGTACACAGAGCCAGAGGCCGTCAGCTCTTATTGAGTTTCATTCATTTTAACAGGAAGGACAAAATGGAGCCAACTCAAACAGATGCCTCGGACCTCCAGTAGAAAGTTGCATACCTTCGGGTTCTCCCCTCGACGATTTAAGAAAGTCAAGTGACAGGACATTTCAGGAAACGTGTCCTTACTGTTCAATCTATAACACGGGTACTGTGCCGTTTGTGAGACTCTGTCATTGAGTTGACTCCACGCAGGAGAAGAAATAGTTCGATTAAAGCTTTTCAAATATCTTCATGATTTAAAAATGACAGGAGCACTAATGTTCATTAGCATCCGGTGCGGAGGCTCAGAAACACGTCACACTGCTGCTGTGTCACTGTGATTAGTTTTTCACTGTGATTGTCAGACAAGAACTCATTCTGTTCTCCTGAGCTGCTCTGTGTACTCTGACACATACAACAGAGAAACACATGAGTGATGATTTAACTGGTAACATGAAGTCTGACTCAGGTGTTCATGATGATCTGAATCATAGATGTTCAGTCTGAAGTTCCTTTAAACTGTTTCTGTTAACGAGGCGGCTGTAGGAACCTAATGGGACACAAACATTCTGGCAGCGTGCCTCACTCTGCTGCCTGGAGCTGAGCGGCTCATAGTTACAGAATAAAGAGTGACTGCGAGAGTTCTCCCTGCCAAGGCCAGACTGTCCAGCCCAGACGAGGACCACCCTTTAAGCAAGATATACAATTAGAGAGATCCCACTTCATCCTCACTGACTCTTTAATAAGCTGACTGTTGCCAGGCAACAAATACAGCTGCTGCCCGTGCAGAGAGCGTGAGTTAATATTACTCGGCAGTTAAGTATTTCCAGGAAACTAATAACTAAAAATGGGCTGGAACGAAGCCCAACAACTATAGATTGCTAATATCTTGTGAGGGCAGATTCCTGAAAGCACGGTAACAGCATCAGCAACACCAAAACACAGTCATGGCTTTGCAGAGATTAAGACTCCCTCTCTGGTGTGTAAGACCAAAGAACAATGAAATGTGTGTGTTAGTGTCCCTGTGTGCACCCGGTACCAGAGGGTGTGTGTGTGTGTGTGTGTGTGTGTGTGTGTGTGTGTGTCTACTGTTTTCCCAGAAGCCTTTGGGACGATAATGAGAGTTTTCTCGCAGCACATGGGGGTGGGTGTAGGAGGGGGAGGCTGCAGAACACTGCAGCACCATCAACCTCCAAGCTGCCCTTATTGCTGCGTCATCATGACATCACTTCCTGCTGCGGCTGTTGGCTGACGGCCCGGGGTTTTGTCGTGTATTCTGTGTTCTCGCTGTGAGAACGTTTCAGGAGCTCGTGGTGACCTGGAGTGCTTCCTCTTTGCAGACTGGGTGGAGCACCCCCACCAGGAGATGCTGACATGCTGAAAGAATTCCAGTTGCATTCGTACATCAACACCCAGTAGCCTCAGGGTGCGTCATCGACGGTGTATCTGATTCCATTAGACAGAGAGTCTATTAGGCGCTGTTTTGACTTCAGTGACACATGGTATGAAGAGCTGCCTTTCCATTCCATCAGAGATAAACACCGAATGTGGGCAACTACAAAAACAAAAACCTACCGCTCTGCTGCTCTGAGGGAACTCTGCAAACATGACCTGACCTTAACTTCAAAATGTCACTTACATAAACTCTTAGCACCGGGAAATGTTTTAAGTGGGCAACGTTCCTCGGCAGTATCGCTCCTGTCCAGGCCAGTGATTTTAGATGATTTATACACCTGTAAAGTAGTTTTTGAAGCACTTAGAGTATAGTTGTCTCATGTTTAAAGCAGTTGTTGTACAGTGTACGATGTCACACTCGACGTTTGATTCCATGTCATATCAGTCTTTGAGAAAAACTGTTTTTTTATAGACTAACATTGTCGTTACAGCTGCTTGACATGTCGGTGGTTTTTGTTTCTTGACAACCCGTTAAAGGTATAATACGCAACTTTCAGAGTAGATGGCGCTTTAATGACATCTGGCCCTAAAATCCTGCTGATGTGGTTGTTCACACATGCACCTCACAGCGAGAGACTATCCCTGTTGGAGAGGAGGTGATGCTCCCTAAGCAAGATATGATGCAAAAAGAATAATGCGGTAGTGCTGGATAAAGCAACAGGTCGACTATACGATGTTAGAATGAGAATATGTGTGTTTGTATCAATGCTACGTGTAGTTGAAGAGAATCTCAATGTGAACTTAGGAGTGGAGAAGAACATCCTGGAGAACAGGAAACATGCAGCAGCAGGTTGATTAGAGCACGGAGATGGTAGAGGTGGCGTGCAGACAGTCTATGGTCGTGCAGCGATCACAGGGAATAAAGGTCACCACCCCTCCCACTGGCCCCTCCCACTGGCCCTCCCACTGGCTCCAGGTGAATTCTCCTGATTATATCCTGCTGCGTTCTCACATCAGCTCACTCTGACACTCAGAAATTCTACTGGAGTGCCGGCAGGAGAAACTCTGACTGAAATATTCTGCCATTTTGCGTTCACACATTCAGCTCACCACAAATACTTCTACAAATGTAAAAGCAGCTAATGATTAATGTAGTCAGCCTTTGATATCTGCTGTATTAATTTGTATGTTGCATATTAAACCTTTAAAAGCAGTCTTCCTCTTTATAGCTGCCCAACAGGTCGGTGGTTTGTGGTTCTTTGACGTGTGTGTCATCGTCGTCTCTGTCGTCTATCTTCAGGATAATCTTTTCTTGCAGTTGCAGCGGCTGTTTCAGATTCAGAGCGAGTGTTGTAAGGTGTTCGTTGCACAGAGTGTACCCATGTAACACATGTTGCACAACAAGTGTCGTTTGTTGTTGCACATCCTGCTTGTGGTTCGTGTCGCTTTTTTTTGGGGCTGACATGAGTGTAAGCCATCGGCTAGAAAAAAAAATCAACTGTGTGTATAAAAGTTAAAAGGAAGTAGAGTACCCGCTTCATCCTTGAAGTGTCCTGCTCGGTTGTTCCATATCTGCCTTGTTGTGTCCACCTTGATCTTTTAAATCTCTGCTCCCCTTTCTGCCCCAGAAAGCTTCCCGCCTGCTGTAGTATCGTCTCGGCTCCTACATTGAATGCCTTGAATGTTTGATGACCTTTTTGTTCCTGTTACACATTTTTTTTGTCTTTTTTAAGCAGGTTTTATTGTGAAGGGTTGCAGAGAAATGCCTCCGATAATCCCCTCCCCCAATCTACCCTCACATTCTAGTTAACATCCTTAGAGACCTTTCTTCCCCCTTACCTTAGCGTACTAACACTAGCTGTGCAGCCTTTACCACCATCTGCATGTCTCTGTGCTTCTCACTAACACACACACACTCACTAACAGGCGCTTAGTGCAACTCCAATGAATCTCCAGAGCTGGTTAACACGTTAAATCATGCATTAACATGGCCCTCCGAGTGCCGTCTCCACCGTGGCTGTGTAACAGGAGCAGAGTGGCACTCCTTTTCACAGCTTACGGGGAGGAGAGGAACTCTGAGGGGAGGGGGGGGGGATTAAGACCAGGGCAGGGTCTGATTGTGGTGTCTTTGTGTGGTTGTGGCGGCCTAAACTTGACCCGTGACTCAGACTGACCGGTGATCAGTCACAGATTTCGACTCAGAGGTCAAACCGCCGTCTGTGGGAATCTGTTTCTGTCTGCTGAACCACCATGGAATGACCAGGTCTCGCTCACTCTGCGAATCAGAGGACAGAATAAAAATGGGATTTGGGATTATCTCCTTCTTCATACACGCACAGACACACCTGAAGGGGCCCGCCATCTTTATCTCCTCCGTCCAGGCAGCTTGGTGTGCTGTCTCAGCTGTCGTAGGGTTGTTGTTGTTATTGTTGAAATAAAAGGGAACAGCTGTCAGGGAGCCAGTCATTTTGGTGGACTGGCTTCTAATGTGGTAGTACTAACAGAGAGGGCGGGGCGATAATTCAAAGAACCTCAATATGCGATCGATCATGATCAAACTGGATGTATAACTTTACTGGACTTACATCGATCAATCAGCCTGTTTCAGTCTGCAGGTTTTAGCCCGCATGTCAAAGCTAATCTCAACTCCACCCCTAATGAGGTCATTCAACAACCCCAGCTGATTGGACGGATGAAATGATCTGGACTGAAGCAGGAGTTAAAAACAAAGTCATCAAACATTTCTGAGTGATGTAATCGATCACTGAGAACACACGGCTGACCTCTGCTCCTCCTCGTCCTCCAAGTCACCTCACCTTTCTACGGCCCTATGATTTCCACGATGCAGAAAACAAAACCAATCACGGGTAAAACGATGAAAATGGAATCAACTGGAACACGATGAGTTAGCTGAAATGTCGGAGTGATTTATCAAGACATGGCTTTTCCTGACATGTCTGTGAGTTTTTCTCAGCGCTTGAGCTGATAAAAAAAAAAAACGACGTCAGGAGTCTCTACTGTGTTTTGGCTGCTGCAGCGCCCGTCGGCCAGTTTGACCTGTAGTCACCTCGGGCGTGGTTATTTGCCTCCACACGGGGACAGACATGGAGACCATCTGAGATTTAAAGAAATAAGAAATGCGACACTGAGCGCTAAGTTTCAAGCAGAACCATACCCGAACGACTTCTCTGAATCAGGAGAGAAACTTGTCTTAACGATCGACTGGAACCGCGAGAACACGTGCTGTCACCATCTACAATCAAAAACAGAGAGGCAGCGGGCGAGCGAGGGCTCATCACTTCACCAAACTCACCCTTGTGCAAACACATCGGCAGAAGCAGGACATGAGAATCGGTTATTCCACTGGATGAAAATGAAAAAGCTGCGTCCAAGCAGGACAAGAGTAACCTCCGACCAGGTGACAGAATGTGGTCACATCATAAAACACAGAATAAAAAATAAAAAAACGAATACACTCAACGTTCCCTGTGACTGTAAACAGAGCTGGCCAATCAGAGGAGAGTGTGCACATGGGGAGGCAGGGCTTAAAGAGACAGCAGCTGAAATGAAGCGTTTCAGGCTGAAAGGAGAGATTTTACTGACGCCATGTATCAGATAAATAAGAAAGTCTTTGAGCTACACATCTCACATTGCTGCTCAACAAGTGTTCCAGACTGACATCATTAATGGTGAGAGTGAGGATAAGAGATCTCCTTTAAGGAGTAACTTCTGCCTACATTGGAACGATCTCCGTCCTGAATTAGAAATTGAGTTCAAACTACGTTTGAACTTGGCAGAGCTGCTGCAGCACAGCTGATATTCAGCTTCCTCATAAAACCTGGCTCACAGCCCCTCTTTCAACTGAAACGGCTCAATTAGGTGTTTATTTACTTTTCCGTCATCATCTTTTTAATAAAGAAAAAAAACGATCATGATCATGTATTTTGTTTTATAGCCCAGCCCTACTAATAGTCTTCAACTTAAAGGCAATAACAACCTCATCATCACCCATTAAAACCTCCATCAGTATGAACTCATGTGGAGAGACCTGACCCACTCTCCCTCACTCCCTCACTCCCTCACTCACTCCCTCACTCCCTCACTCACTCCCTCACTCACTCATGATCCAGCTTCACCTCCAGCAAATTAAAAAAATAAAATAAAAACCGAATCATGTCCCCTCCCTGTGGGCTCCAGACCATTTTTAGACCTCTTAGGTAACATTTTCATGCCATGTTCCTCCCCCGTCTCCTCCACCCCTCTCACCCACCCTCCCTTTTTTTTTTTACACCACATCCACTTCCAGGACAGGAAATTCTTCAAAGGATTCTTTGCAAAAGTAAGTTATTGCTTTGTGTGTCTGAGTGTGTCTCTTGATTATGAGCAGTATTATTATTTTTCCTCCTCTCACGTAAAACTTCACTCTTTGATCGTTCTGGGAGAACACACACACACACACACACACACACACACACACACACACACAGAGAAGGAGGGGGGGGGCTGTCTGTCTGGAGAGAGACAAACAGAATGATGCATGTGTGTCTGAGCAGGTGGGGTAGTTTAGGCTGGGGCGGGGCACTTTGTGTGTTTTTGTGGTGTGTGTGTGTGTGTTTTTGTATTAACAGGCCTTCTCTCCTTCATGAATCCAGAATGGGACAATGAACAGTTTGTGTGAATGAACGTTTCCTTCATGTGCAAACACAATGTTGTTATTTTATTGTTGTTGTTCTAACCAACGGGGGCCACCATTGTCGGCTGCATCAGTTCACCAGTTCTCATATCAACCTTCTTGTTCCTTTGATTAAAGCGTGGGCTCTTCTGAATGACACGTCACTACTCCCTCTTCTCTCACTTGGTGCTTTCTCTTTATTCACAGGTGTGCTTTGTGTGTGTGTTGACTGGATTCTTTTTTTAAGTTACCAAAGAGCGGTACAAAAGGGGAAGGCACAGAGGGGCTGGAGGTGTTTCTAACTCGTACCTGTACCTGTTGTGTTTCCTCTGCAGGCCGGGAAGAAGGCGGTGCGGGCGGTGTTGTGGGTGTCGGCAGATGGTCTACGTGTCGTAGACGATAAAACAAAGGTAAGTGTTACGATCCCCAAGATGGCGAGCGGCGACGGGAGTGACAATAAAATAAAACCCTGGGGGAAAGAAGAAAAAACTAAGGACTAAGTTTAAACACATTTAAAAATGATTTATTAACAAAACAACAACTGTAAACGAGCCAGTCATGCATTAATTATCAAAATACAACGACTAAGCAAACACTGAGGCATCGATGAAAAACACTCACTGCTCACTAAAACATCTGACTGTCTCCCCTCTCCTGAGAGAGAGAGAGAGAGAGAGAGAGAGAGAGAGAGAGAGAGAGAGAGAGAGAGAGAGAGAGAGAGAGAGAGAGAGAGAGAGAGAGAGAGAGAGAGAGAGAGAGAGAGAGAGAGAGAGAGAGAGAGAGAGAGAGAGAGAGAGAGAGAGAGAGAGAGAGAGAGAGAGAGAGAGAGAGAGAGAGAGAGAGAGAGAGAGAGAGAGAGAGAGAGAGCTTGGTAAAGAAAATGAGCTGCTACAGGAAGTAGAGGTGGATTGAGTGAAGGAGGAAGCTGCTGAGCTCCAGCGGCTCGTCATGATAAAAAGCTGATAAAGCTTCTGGACCGGTGACCTCTAAAGGCTTTTGTTTTGATATGTACTCGCTGCTCCTGCATGAATAGATATAAATAAAAATGAAGGTAGCACTGACACATGGTGGTCAGTGCTGGTACTACATCAAATCTTTTCCCTTCAGATTTGAGCTCAGTGTTGAATATTTTGGAGGATCTAAACGACTTGGGGTTAGGGTTAACCCTGTCTGTGTCAAGGTTAGACTTGGGGTTAGGGTTAACCCTGTCTGTGTCAAGGTTAGACTTGGGGTTAGGGTTAACCCTGTCTGTGTCAAGGTTAGACTTGGGGTTAGGGTTAGGGTTAACCCTAACCCCAAGTCTAACCTTGACACAGACAGTCACGGCTGAAAAGTAAATCCTGGCGAGCAAATCATTTCAACATTAGTACATCCAAATAAGTGCTCATTTTTACCATTCAAAAGACTCAGATGGTTTTTGAACATTGTTGACAAAAATGACAGTAGTTTAGTTTTTTCTAAAGAGTAAGATCCTTTTGTAATCAGACGTAGATGTCCCGTTGCTTTTTGACATTTGACATTTCAGCCTGCAGAGCAGATGTTTGGCGTTGCTGCTCTAACCCTGCAGTTACTGTTTGTTTTTGTAATTTACTGTGTGACTTAATGTGATTTCAGGGATGTCATTTCTGCAGGATTCCATGTTTCCGATCTAAATGTTGACCAGCGAGATTTGAGTTATCAGTGAAAGTGTTTCAGAGAAATGGAGAATACCTGGGCGGTCGCTGAGATATCTTTACAGCCACCTAAATAATGCAGACCGTTGATTGTCATCTGAGATTTAAAAAAATAATAATAATCTCCATCTCTCCCTCTATTTGATTTCCTGCAGAGGACACAGACGCTCCTCGCAACAAGAACTCCAGTGTGTGTTGACTTCCTGTGTGTTAAAGAGTCAACGGGTCCAGGAACCTTTATTGTACTCCATTGTTGACATGATCTGTTTTCCGAATCAGAATCAGATTCTGAAATCAAATTCTTATGTCTTTAAATGTATAAAGATAAAAGTCTCGTCTTATTCAGGACCCAGGTTTCCTCTGTGATCAGCGAGCAGGCTCCGATGTTAAACACAAACATGAGCCTGTTGTAGTTCAGAGTGATTGGAGCACTCTTAAAGCCCTCACATTGAAGTGCTGCTCAGCATGCGATCATTCAGACTCCACTGAGTGTCTCTCCATCTCGACTGTTTTTATATTAATGAGATAATAAATGTCTCTGTGCAGGACCTGATCCTGGACCAGACAATAGAGAAGGTGTCGTTCTGCGCTCCGGACCGAAACTTTGAGAGAGCGTTCTCTTACATCTGCAGGGACGGAACGACTCGACGCTGGATCTGCCACTGTTTCATGGCCATTAAAGACTCAGTGAGTTCCTCTTCCAACATGACATGTTTTAAAGTTGTTTTTAAATCATTCTGACATCACTTTAAAATACAGCCGACCTTCAAAACTATTGGAAAGCAGGAAAGACAGCATGGAAAAGGTTTTAAAAATTAAGTTTGATTTTTGCTTTAGAGTCTTGTATCTGCGATGATGCCACCTCAACTTCTAGGCTTTTCCAAAGCATACATGTACAGAATAATGTTGGTTGCTAGTAAGAAAGCCATAACCTGGCTCACCTGTACTAGAAGACTGGTTCAATGTAATGGACATGTATCGGATGAATGTTGGAAAGGATGGATTGAGTTTATAAACCCACAGAAGAGATTTCAGGTAAATAGCTGATGTTATATCGTAACTCCCCTGGTTCTCTGCTACACATTGTGACTATTGTGCTTTTATGTTTATAGTATGTCTGTTTTTTTATTTTTTGTCTTTTATCTTCAGAAAAAAAAGATTTTTATTTAAAGATTTTTAAAGATTTATTTTTTTGGCTTTTTGTGCCTTTATTAGAGAGATAGGACAGTGGAGAGAGTGAGTGAGGAATGACATGCGGGAAAGGAGACACAGGCTGGATTCGAACCTGGGCCGCCCGCTTTGCGGTCTATAGCCTCCCTCCAAGATTTTTATTTAAAAAATGTTGTACACCAGTTTGTATGGAAGCCCTTTTCCGCCAGTTAAAAAATAAAAATCATAAACTCATAATTATGAGATAATAAAGTCATAATAATGAGATATTGCATCGTCTGTTTCAGGGAGAGCGTCTCAGTCACGCTGTGGGTTGCGCGTTCGCCGCCTGTCTGGAGCGGAAACAGAAACGAGAGAAGGAGTGCGGCGTCACGGCAACCTTTGACGCCAACAGAACCACGTTCACCCGCGAGGGCTCGTTTCGCGTCACAACGGCCACAGAGGCGGCGGAGCGGGAGGAAGTCATGCGGCAGCTGCAGGACGCCAAAAAAGGTCTGAATCTGTTCCCGTACAGCGATCGTTTCCTCCCTGATGTTGTTGCTTGAACATTTGTCTCTAACAGCAGAATCCGATGTGACTGTTGCCGGGAACTCAGCCACCAGTGTGACAAACTCCTCAGCACACCCTTCAGGAGGCTCGCCGTCCCCCTCGTCCTCCCCCCCTCTCTCTGTGGGGACGCTGGGACCCCAGGCCATACCGCGCAGGCATGCACCGGCCGATGTGATCGCCAGGCAGGGCTCCTTCAGAGGCTTCCCGGTGCTCAGTCAGAAGACGTCTCCTTTCAAACGACAGCTGTCACTACGCATGAACGAGCTGCCCTCCACCATGCAGCGCAAGTCTGACTTCCCCAGCAAGAACACAGGTGAGTTCAGCTCTCGACCACGACTCCTCTGTTTCTCCCCTCAGCCTGCTGACAACCTGCAGGCGACTTAAACAGTCAACTCCAAACAAAAGACGGAAACTTCTGTTACTTCTAAAGTTAAAGTCTTTATGTGATGTTTCACACTTAAATGTAGAAATCAAGTATATCCTCTGAAAATAACTCTGTGAGTCATGACTGTCTACAATGGGTGTAACACCCGAGTCCCACTGTCTGTGATGTTTTCAGAGTTTTCAGAGTCCTATCTTCACTTTGTTTACATCGCCTGGACGGCCGGCTGACTCCTCCCCTCGTGTATAAAAGTTGTTTAATTGAGGGACTAGAGAAAAGAAGAATAACATACTGTACTCACTGCTTAACTGTGTTTCTAGATCACGCTCATTTCAGGTAAATTTACATGCAGTGTGAAGATACCAGCATAATAAAGATCGCTTAGAGATTAGAGATGATTGTGATAGTTGAAGTAGAGCTGTAATCCACATTATATCTAGTACAATGTTTTTTTTTTACATCTGTCATTTTAACGTTAAAGATTTAGCATATTTTCTCTCCCCAGTCCCCGAGGTCGAAGGAGAAAGTGACAGCATCAGCTCGCTGTGCACTCAGATCACCTCAGCGTTCAGCGGACCCCCGGAGGACCCCTTCTCCTCGGCACCGATGCCCAAACCGACCTCATCCCCACAGTCTCCTGTGGCACCAGGTAACTTCTTTTCTAAACGCCTGCATGCCTTTAAAAAGTATTAATAACTTGATATTAACACCAAGATCGGCTCTGAGACATGAATTATTTACAGACAAATCTATAAACATTTATGATGATGTGGACTTATGGTTCTGAAATAAGAGTATAACGTTTTAAACACCCCCATGTTGCTTGAATGGAACGATCCTTGAACGACTGTGAGAGTCGACTGAGGCTCTGATGAAGAACTAATGAGAGAGAGAGAGAGAGAGAGAGAGAGAGAGAGAGAGAGAGAGAGAGAGAGAGAGAGATTTCTGAAGTGCTTTTTGGCAGTTTTGGCTCACATGTGTAAAAAGGGGTAAAATGACATCACCAAGAGAGTAACACAGTCAAATTGTAACGACTGACCCGGACAGTTTAAGCAGCTTTTTTTTAGCCTTTCGTGGTAAAAAATTAAATTAAAAAATAAATAAATCCTGACCTCAACTGAAAAGTACACAGATACATTTTTAGCCCATTTAGTTTTCTGCACGTCTTCCTCGACCAGCAGCAGATTGAGACCGCACATAATCTCTGCAGCTGATGTCTGCCAACATGCATCTGCAGGCCAGCCGTGTTTTTCATTGCCCACAAGTTTTGGCAGCGTTTCCTGGTCATTAGGCGCCGTGGGAATCGATTAGACTTCCTGCTTACATTAACCACATTAGCAGTATTTGGTTTCATAAATGTGATTAACATTTTGTTGTGACTGCTGATTAACTGCATGGTCATGTTGTGCATGTGTAACTCCTGACACACACACACACACACACACACACACACACACACACACACACACACACACACGCCTGCTCGTACTAGCTGCTGTCTCTTATCTGCTGTAGTGAACGGCGCCGCTCCGGCCTTCTCTGTCGCTGCTGCGTCTGCTGCTGTAACTCCTAACCCCCCCGCTCTGCCCCCCGCTCTGCCTGCTCGGGACACTAACCCCTGGGCTAAGACCCCAGGAGGGGCCCCGGCCTCAGCACAGCCAGGTGAGCCATCAAGAGAGACGGGATGCACGAGGTTACAGCTGTTGATATGAAGAATGATTTATTGTGACATCACAGTGTACGACCGTTAAGCCTGGCTCACCCTGCAGGATAATCGATTTGAGCTCTGATTCTTCTTCTTCTTCCCGACAATCTCAGGGTCTCTCCCGACTCGAGGCTGCTCGGACCCGATTCTCTGTTCAGATTATCTCGTAGAGTGAGCGGTCCAAAGATCCAATCTTAACGTCCCCGATCTGCCCGGCGATCGTCGGGGACGCCCCGATTCATTTTAAACATGTTTGATATTTAGAATTTAAAATCTGGATGATTACATCATGAAGGGTCCGGCAGAAGTTGTGTGTGACTACAATATAATCAGACAAGGGAGGACTGTAGTCATGGCGACCAGCGGCACGACGCCACCCGGCATAAAGATCATCAGTGCAGCACTTTTCTGAAACTTGTCTCCATATATCTACGATTGTATCAACTTTCCTTTATCCTACAACAACTTCCACTTCCTTCTCTTTCACCAACCCTTGGCCTTTGTTTTTTTCAAAGGAAACTTTATTTACAACTGTCAACACTCCGTCCCGATTTCCCTCTTGCAATGTGAGCTGACATGCCACCCCGACTTTTATACAATCGGGGAAAAATCGCACAGGCTGAGCCCGGCTTAAGACACATTTTCAACACCTAAAGCTGCGTCCGTTAAACCAGCGTGCATGTGCAGCCATCACCATCTCCCTCTGCACGTGACCTGACTTGATTGCCCCACATTCATTGTGTATTGCAAGCGGCTGCTCAAAGCAACCTGGGACACATAGCGACGCAGACCGGGCTTACGGCGCCGCTTTCATCTGTCTTTTTTTTTATTACTTTTTATTGTCATCATGTCTTAACATACAGTACACATATTTTATATTCAACATAAGGACGACAATATTTGACATTTTATAAGTGGTGTGGTGTCAAAAAGGTCGTGTCCCCCCAGTGATGTGGAAATACTAAAAATAACACTTACACTACAGAAACATGATTTACAGTTTGTTTAAAGGAGCTTGAAGTAAAAACTGAGGTAGCTTGGATCTGTGTCTTTCATTCATAAATGTTTCCCTCCATCAAGGTTTTCTTCCCTTTCTCTACGATATTTAACATCTTTAGGAAGACAAACAAACAAACAAATGAGTTATATAAAATGAAAGAATAAAATTAAATTAAAAGAGAAGAAGAGTCAAAGGAGAACGAAAACAACAAACAACAAAATGTCATCTGTCTCGCTTGTTTCCTGTACCTGATGTTTGTCTCACTTTGTTTGCCTCTCTGTCACAGGAAGTAACTGGACATCCCCCAACCCGGTGATCGTGGTCCCCCCGTCATCCTCTCCAGTCTTATCGTCTCACAGACGCACGCCCTCAGAAGCAGACCGGTGGTTAGAAGAGGTCACCAAGTCTGTCCGAGCCCCGCCGACCAACCCGATCCTGGCGGCGGCCCCTCCCCCCGCTCAGCCGTTTTCAGCTCCCGTTGTGCCGATGCCCGTGGCTTCTGTTCCCTCCGTTCCCCCGGTGGCCTTTATGTCCTCTCTGCCCTCCGCCGTGCCCATGTTGCCCCCTCGCCAGCCCGCCTTCCACGCTCAGGCTCCGGCCTACCCGATGCCGAACGGGCTGCCGTTCCCTCAGCCCAGCGTGCCGGTGGTCGGCATCACGCCCTCACAGATGGTGGCTAACGTGTTCGGCTCAGCCACGCAGCCCGGGCCCTACCCGCTCCCGACCTCCACAACAACCCAGCATGATATCCAGGCTGTGGGCAGCGTCAGCCCCTTTATCAAACCCCCGCCGCCCGCCATAGTGCACCCTGCTCCTCTCCAGCCCTCCAACGGCAGCGCCACCTTTAACGGATCAGACAACTGGGCTGCTCCATCCCAACTCGCTCCATCTTCCCCCGCCACCCAGCCGCCTCCGGGGCCGCAGGATGATAACTTTGAGGCCCAGTGGGCAGCCTTGGAGGGCCGCTCCCGCCAGCGCACCACGCCCTCCCCGACAAACCCCTTCTCCACCGAGCTGCACAAGACCTTTGAGATCCAGCTCTGAAGACCGACCAGAGATTAGAAAAGGCCCGGACTATAAGGAGGCCGTTTAATCAAAGGGCAGACGTGTGATCGACTCGAGAAGAGCGGGCAACAACTTTCTGTCTCTCTTCAACTCAGTTTCAGCGGTCAAGCTCAGCAGGGCAACAAAAAGAACGGGGAGACCGAGGAGAGCCTGGGGGGGCGGATCAGCAGGGAGCAGAACTCTGCACAGCACTGAGGGGAGGAAAAGAAAACAGGCTGCTGTAAACGAGAGCGCAGCTCCCCGGACGATTCATTAGCTTTGTCTGTCTCGTTTTGTTCATGCTGTGGAGCGCTCGTCTTTACCCCGTGGAATATCTGTGTCGAGCCACACCCACCCCCCTGTCAGCCCCCCGATAACCTACCCAGGTGTGGTTGCTCCTGTCTCCCGCCCGCTTTTGCTCAATCCAGCCGCCCCCCCCCCATTGACAGAACAAGATCTCCCTTGCCTGGCAGAGGAACTGCAGCACTGAGGGAACTCAGCTTCCACACAAGAAGTTCTCATGATTAACTTCCCAATCAGAAGAGTAGAGTGAGACGATGCCAAATCTTTATTTTTATGCATTAAGTATATTTTAAATAGCTTTGGAATCTAACAGAAGAGATGTAAGTAATCGTGCCAAAGGCACAGGCTAGCTACAGCGAGACATGTTCCTGTATACAAGAAATGACCGTATATATTATACATAAAATATATATATATATATATATATCTATAAAGAATCTATACTGTACACACAGCTTACAGCAGTGCTAATTTTTAATGTGATGTAAAGAGATTTTGTGAAGGGACAGCTGCTTTACTTTGATGTTTATTTTTTGAAGAGAAATCTGTGTTTCCGTCTGTCGCATCCTGTGATTGGATGTGAAGCGTCTCACTGTAAATAGGGTATCATTGCAGCAACAATCATTGCGGACCTGGTGGTGGTGCCCGACTGGTTGCCTCTCTTACCTGTGCTCAGTCTGTCATAGTTAGTACACATCAGTACTTCTCGTTTTCTTCTTCACTCTTTTACGTTGTGTACTAACATTCTTGTTTTTTTTATTTAACGCAGTAGGATGAGTCTTCTTCTGTTTCGCCGCCTCTTATCTTATTTTTTTAAGAAGTTGGTTTCTCAATTTTTATTTTGCACAAGCACTAAAGTCGATGATTTGACCTCACAGGTGACCTTGATCCTCACAGGTGAGTCAGTGTTGGTGCTGACTCGACCCGACCTCCGCCAGCCGTCTTCGGCTCCAGCGGTCGACAGTAAACTACAGGGAGATCAAAAAAACGGTTTCATCTCTCACTGTCTCCTTTCTCTCTGTCATGTTTTTATTTTTTTAAATCAAGCCTGTGAATATGATCTGATCTATTTTTCCATTTTGTAATTATTTCATTACTTTATTCCACGTCTTTGGAGAAACGTTGAAGCTAAAAGATTGAATAAATTGATGGTGGTAGAGGACGACGTGGTCTTTGTTCTTCATGTTTGAATGTTGACAGCGTCCTGAAATCTGTTTTCAAAGATTATTTAAAAATATGTTTAAGAGCGAGAGGAAGCGAACATCATGCTGCTCACAGATCAGAGGTTTCCACATAATTTAACTGATTATTAAAGGAATGTGTTTATTGTTAAACTGCAAACTAACCGAGCACAGTCAGTCAGATATCCTGTTACATCCATTAGAGGTGGAGGGTCGATACAGCTGAGTATCGTGGCGATATTATATCGTCTCATGGACGGCCAAGTATCGATATTTTTATTATATTAGTAGCAAATATGCTTTTTAATTTTTTTAATTCGTGAAGCAGTAGCACACTTCATTTTGAACAAGTTTCATTGTTCAAAAAGTTGCTGCCATTGTTCAGTCGTCTGTAGAGTTTGTGTTCAGTTCAGTTTTTATTAGACTGAAATCTCAACAGTTCAGATTGTGAGGTGCATGCAGCCTCTTACAGGGTAAGGCCTCTGGGGATCCCCACCCCTAATATCCATGTTGATTGGATTTAACTCATTTACATTTTTCAAACACTAAATATGTTCTAAGATGCAGAGTGTTTTTCAGGGTCCAGAAAATGTTGTTAAGATTATTTTCGATCAACATAGCTTACGTTTCAAGTCTTTGCACTCAAACTTTAAAAATCACATCAGAATGAAAAAAGAAAATATGAAATAAAAAGGACGGTGCATCTCTTTATGGAAGCTCAGGTCGCTTTGATAACGTCCTTAATCTCGTCTGTATTGTTGGTGTCTCTCGTCTTCCTCTTGACAATACTCTATAAAACATAAAAACCTGAACATCATAGGAAGTCAGGCATCATGATTACTCAGGCAACACAGGAACCTAAGCAACTGAGGTTGAGACCAAGAGGACCAACAATGTAAGAAGATAAATTAGCGTCAGTAGTTCAGTCCGTAGGGACTTGGGTTGGAAACCGGAGATGCAGACCATATTGTGGAAGTAGGTCTGGTAGCTGGAGAGGTGCCAGGTCACTTCCACTTGGACATCTCTCCATTAATACACGTCCACAGGTCCTGTTTGTGCATGTGTGTGAGAAGCATGTCTCTCAATAACCAGAATTTCCCCTCAGGGATTAATAAAGTATATAAATAAATAAATAAAAATCAATTCAATTAAAAGAGAGAAACAATAAAAAAGTAGTTAGAAGCTTTAAAACAAGAGAAGAGGAATCTTTAAGATGGTAAATGGTAAGAGGAAGGTATTCGATATAGAATGAAATAACAATCAAAACAGCTGAAGCATTAAATAGATAGAAAGGAACTTTATTAATCCCTTGGGAAGGTTCCCTCAGCAGCAGGTAACACCAAAGGATAGAACAGCACACAAATATAAAAAACACAAGTTATATACAAATAATAAACTGTACACAGTAGCAGCAATAGGCATGTCTAAATAAAATATACCGCTACAGATTTATGCTAAAATAGCAGCAGCAATAAAAAATGGGAGCAGCAGTTGTGTTGTTTTGTTTTTGTTCTTTGTGTAACTAGAGAAAAGGAAGCAGTTAAGATCAACTGGACTTAAAAACTAAACAAAAACAAAAAAACAGAAGAGCAATGAAATGAAGTGAGGATCTATGGATAATAAAGTAATTAGAAGAATAAAATAAGTTCTCTTGTGAAGCTCTCAAAGTGTGTTGTTGTAGTTGTAGTTCTCCTCCTGTCCGGCAGGTGGTGTAGTTCTCCTCCTGTCCGGCAGGGGGTGTAGTTTCCCTCCTGTCCGGCAGGGGGTGTAGTTCTCCTCCTGTCCGGCAGGGGTGTAGTTCTCCTCCTGTCCGGCAGGGGGTGTAGTTCTCCTCCTGTCCGGCAGGGGGTGTAGTTCTCCTCCTGTCCGGCAGGTGATGTAGTTCTCCTCCTGTCCGGCAGGTGATGTAGTTCTCCTCCTGTCCGGCAGGGGGTGTAGTTCTCCTCCTGTCCGGCAGGGGGTGTAGTTTCCCTCCTGTCCGGCAGGGGTGTAGTTTCCCTCCTGTCCGGCAGGGGTGTAGTTTCCCTCCTGTCCGGCAGGGGGTGTAGTTTCCCTCCTGTCCGGCAGGTGGTGTAGTTCTCCTCCTGTCCGGCAGGGGGTGTAGTTTCCCTCCTGTCCGGCAGGGGGCGCTACCTGCAGAGCTACGTGGTTATAAAACAGCCCGGAAGACATGGCTCAGATTAGCATAAAAAAGCAAGAGTACATGTGTGAGAAACTGGCGTTGAGTTGGTTAAAAACGTAAAGGTAAGACTCAGCTGTCCCGGGTTAGGTCAGGTAACGTGTTAGGTCAGGTAACGTGTTAGTGAAGAATCTTTTAAACTGCCTGAAGCTAGCGAGTTAGCCGGCTAGCTGCTGTGGCTAACCAGGCTAACGTTTCCCTCAGCGACAGAAAGAAGAAGAAGAAGAAAAGAGAAAAGATGGAAAAGATGTAAAAGATGTAAAAGATGTGATGTTGTCTTCAGATGAGCTGAAGGTGAAAACACGTTTCCGGTCTTTACTCTGAATCTTCACTGAGCAGAAGCTAACGTTAGCTGCTAAGTGTTAGCATCAGGTTAGCTGCTAAGTGTTAGCATCAGGTTAGCTGCTAAGTGTTAGCATCAGGTTAGCTGCTAAGTGTTAGCATCAGGTTAGCTGCTAAGTGTTAGCATCAGGTTAGCTGCTAAGTGTTAGCATCAGGTGATCAGATATAAACAGCCTTTAACTGTGAATCCTAAAACATCTGAACCGAATCACTTCCTGAAAAGAGTCGTTCATTTCTCTCCTCTCTCCTGTCTCCTCTCTCCTGTCTCCTCTCTCCTGTCTCCTCTCTCCTCTCCTCTCCTCTCCTCTCTCCTCTCTCTTCTCTCCTCTGTCCCGTCTCCTGTCTCCTGTCTCCTCTCTCCTCTCTCCTGTCTCCTCTCTCCTCTCTCCCCTCTCCTCTCTCCTCTCTCTTCTCTCCTCTGTCCTCTCTCCTCTCTCCTCTCTCCTCTCCTCTCTCCTCTCTCTTCTCTCCTCTGTCCCGTCTCTTCTCTCCTCTCTCCTCTCTCCTCTCTCCTCTCTCCTCTCCTCTCTCCTCTCTCCCGTCTCCTCTCTCCTGTCTCCTCTCTCCTCTCTCTTCTCTCCTCTGTCCCGCCTCCTCTCTCCTGTCTCCCGTCTCCTCTCTCCTCTCTCCTGTCTCCTGTCTCCTCTCTCCCGTCTCCTCTCTCCTCTCTCCTCTCTCCTCTTTCCTCTCTCCTCTCTCCCGTCTCTCCTCTCTCCTCTCTCCTCTCTCCCCTCTCCTCTCCTCTCTCCTCTCTCCTCTCTCCTCTCTCCTCTCCTCTCTCCTCTCTCTTCTCTCCTCTGTCCCGTCTCCTCTCTCCTCTCATCCTCTCCTCTCTCCCGTCTCTCCTCTCTCCTCTCTCCTCTCCTCTCTCTCTCTCTCTCTTCTCTGTCCTCTCTCCTCTGTCCTCTCCTCTCTCCTCTCTCCTCTCTCTCTCTCCTCTCTCCTCTGTCCTCTCTCCTCTCTCCTCTCCTCTCTCCTCTCTCCTCTGTCTTCTCTCCTCTGTCCCCTCTCCTCTCTCCTCTCTCTTCTCTCCTCTGTCCCGTCTCCTCTCTCCTCTCTCCTCTCTCCTCTCTCCTCTTCCTCTCTCCTCTCTCCCGTCTCCCGTCTCTCCTCTCTCCTCTCTCCTCTCTCCTCTCTCCTCTCTCCTCTCTCTTCTCTCCTCTGTCCTCTCTCCTCTCTCCTCTCTCCTCTCTCCTCTCCTCTCTCCTCTCTCTTCTCTCCTCTGTCCCGTCTCCTCTCTCCTCTTCCTCTCTCCTCTCTCCGTCTCCTCTCTCCTCTCTCCTCTCTCCTCTCTCCTCTCTCCTCTCTCTTCTCTCCTCCCTCTCTCTCTCTCTCTCCTCTGTCCCCTCTCCCTTCCTCTCTCTTCTCTCCTCTGTCCCGTCTCCTCTCCTCTCTCCTCCTCTCTCTCCTCTTTCCTCTCTCCTCTCTCCTCTCTCCCTCTCCCTCTCTCTCCTCTTCCTCTCTCCTCTCTCCTCTCCTCTCTCCTCTCCTCTCTCTCTCTCTCCTCTCTCCTCTCTCTCGTCTCTCCTCTCCTCTCTCCTCTCTCCTCTCTCCTCTCTCTTCTCTCTCTCCTCTCTCCTCTCCTCTCCTCTCTCCTCTCTCCTCTCTCTCTCCTCTCTCCTCTCCTCTCTCCTCTCTCTCTCCTCTCTCTCTCCTCTCTCTTCTCTCCTCTCTCCTCTCCTCTCCGTTTCCGTTTCCGGTTTCCGGTGAGTGTGAGTGTGAGTGTGAGTGACGGTGGTGGTGTTGCGAGTGGCGCGGAGATTGAATTGTTTGCTATCCTTTCTACTGTTTTCAAAGTGCACGATCAGGTCAGATTGTTTTCATATTTGTATTGAGTGTTGTTGGCTGTGTAAGACAGATCGTTGGAGGGGTTGGAGGGAGGAATGGCGTCTGCTGAGACGCCACCTCCGACTCTCCGACAGGGAGTTCGGATAGTCCCTCCGAACGGTACTGTCACCGTGGAGGAGGTTCTGTTAGCTGCAGGTGAACAGGTAGGCCATGAGAAACTCTTGTATGCATCCCGAATGAACAAGGCTGTGGTTGTTTTTCTGAAGAGTGAGCCTCTTGTGTATCAGCTGATTGAGAGTGGTGTGTTCATTAGGGATTTGTTTGTGCAGGTTTCCCCGTTGTCGGTTCCCTCTACGCGGATCACCGTATCCGGTGTTCCGCCGTTTATTTCTAACAACTTGTTAGAGAACGAACTCCGCAGGTTTGGGAAGTTTGCGAGTGGTTTCAAAACTGTGAGTCTAGGGTGTAAAGATCCCAAACTGAAACATGTTCAATCTTTGCGGCGTCAGGTGTTCATGTTTTTGGATTCGCCCACACAGACTCTGGAGGTTTCCTTTAGAGTGAAACACGGTGACGCTTCTTATATGGTGTATGCGAGCTCGGGACAACTGAAGTGTTTTGAGTGTGGTGATGTGGGACACAAACGTTTTGCGTGTCCGCACAGACAGCAGG